CTACATCAATGCGGATCTTGCTTATACTGTGAGTTTCTCATGGAAAAGGCTGTCTCTCTGTTACACCCGCAATAACAAGCCAAGCCCTCTTGGCACCACAACAGTTTAAGTAATAATATCCATTTGGTAAAGTTCTTGCATTCTTAAAATGTTAATCTCATCTTTCTGGGAGACGTGCATCTAAAGTAGCGTGTACATGGGATCAGATTTTAAGCTTATAAACCTTGCTTGTGTAAAAGTGTTTTCTCCACTGGTGTTCAATTTTACGTACTGAGTAAACAAAAATCTTTTTATTAAATAATGAAAGCTAAGCTATCTGTGTCTTTCTTAAATCTTGACCTTTGTTAGGTAAGCAGCCACCAATAATCGGTAGCCACCAGTAATCGGTAGGTCCCTGCTCTGGCGGGGGGGTTGGACTAGATGATCTCTAGAGGTCCCTTCCAACCCTGACCATTCTGTGATTTCTGTGACAGCCTCACATACGATTCAGCTGTATTATTCAGTGGGCTTCAGGTTCAGCCATTCATGTTCCTTGGTTTTTGTTACAAATCTGTTGTTTTGGGTTAACAGGTCACTTTAATGGTCAAGCTAAACGTCTCTGTGTGGCTAACATTACCAAACTCACCCCATTTGGGAATTAATTTATACTTGGTTGGCAACTGTATGCATCTCTGAGATACTGGTTGAATTCAGGAATTTACAGAGTATGCCCTGTGACTCAGTTATATTTGTGTGTGCATGTATGCTGTCAAGAAACACAACTCTATAAGAAATGAATATATTAGCTCATTCTTTAAGATTATTTCCCTAAAAAATATTTTGCATGAAAGGAGATGATCTAGTTTTTTCATTTTTTCTCCTGTTTTATTTATATCAGTTGAGTATTGGCTAATTATGAGTGCTTTGATAATTGGGATTTTCCATGAACTGCAGGACTGATGTATAACTTATCACCACTCTTAGTTATATGTTTCAAGTACCCAATTTCTTTAACTCGGTTTAAGTCTTCTCCACCCACACCTTTTGCTGAAGACTACTAGCCTAATCCAGAGGCCAAATCTTCTGATTATTATAAAACTCTATTTTATTAACTGCTCATTTTGGGCTAACAACTCGTGAAGAAATAATACAAAGCATAACAGAATCTTCCTTAGACAACCAGTTCCTGAGGAATTCTACTGATTTTTCAGTGAAGTTATTTCATCTCTGTAACTGACATCAGAATGACATCTCTGTATATTTGATATTTCACACACATACATAAATTACAAAGAAACTGTGGACATGATTCTCTGTCCTGGCTTATGGTTATCAAATGGTGCTAGGAAGACTGATTGGTACCACCTTTGTTCTTACTAAATCTAATTGCTGTTCACTAGGCCTAGCTCTGGGAAAGTCATTTTATGCCAACACATCTTTTAAATTAAGGATTAACTAATGCAGTTGCAGGGATCTCAGCAGGGAAGTGCCTATGACTAGGTACCCTATGAGGACAGTACATTAAGTGCATCTTCAGAGGGGGTACTCTTTAAATAATCACATTAACACTTTCATCTGGGGATCATCTGACTATGCTGGTTAGGACAGCTTAGCTACAAAACCCCCCAAACTCACATTGCCCAAATATGAAATGGCACAGCTCAACTGGTTCCTAGCAAACTCATTTTTACTTTGCAGCTGGAATGTTCATAAAAGGTGTTTTCCATTTTAACAGAATGTCAATTAATGGATTGCCATTGTTCCACTATTCAAAAGAATGATTAATTCAAGCTCAAAGCTCCTTTTCTTTTTTCTCCTTGAAAAATGTTCATGTTAGTATGCAATAAGATTACAGACTTCATTAGAGAAGGGTTTTTTTTGAGTTTTTTTCCCACTCCCCTTATGGTTAGATTTTAAGCATAATATAACCAATATTCCCAGTAATTTAATTAGCAAAAAAAGAATGGCAGTTAATGTTACCTGTGGCACACTGCATAGATACCGAAGCACTTCCCCAATATACTGTATCACTGTTACGTTATATTTCCTGCAATCATCCCAGAACTGGCTTGCTGAAAATCGGGCACGCAAAACAATAGTTGCACCTGTGTACAAAAAAGTAAAACAAATAACAGAAGGAACAATTCTTATTATATCATAGGACTGTATAGAATTTCTTAGCACAACACTGTAGAAAACTTGTAGAATTAGGTTTATATAGCTTTTGGAAGTACTCTTCCTAAAACATATTGAAATACAAGCCACGCTGAATAATTGGTTTAACCTCTATTTTTATTCATAAAGAAGTTAAGGGCTATTATTGTGGATGAAACTCTGTACTAATTTACCCTGAAACTGTGCAAAGAGCTGTCATGTAGGATAGGATATATGCTGTTTGTCCAGGTGATGAAACAAAATTTGTACAGGGTGAAGATCTGTGCAAGTCATATGAAGATGACAGAGAAACGAGACTGTCTCTTGACTAACGGAGCTTCTGGTAGCAGAGACATGTATAATTAAGTATTTCAGCTCGAAGTCTGGTAGCTAAGGAGAGGCTTCCTATATCTGTGATCATATCTGTCCATGAGTTCTACACAGGAACACGTTCATTCATAATAGTCAAGTACACGGTACCTTTCATGATACATCCATGGACTCCAACAAGGAGGGCAGAGCTGTGATAGAGTGGTAGAGCAGTATACACAATATCTTCTGAGGTAACACCGCCAGCATCAAACAAACCACAAGCTAGCATTATGCGTTCATGGTTAATCACTGCAGCCTTGGGAAGACCTGTTTAAAGTCAAACAAATAGGTGTGTAACTTCACTTGAACAATAAACATAGTAAGACCAGTTGGTTTCACAAGGGTGTAAGAAAAGATTTTCTCTCATTCACTGATGCAAGTGATAGTCCCAGAGTTCAGGGAGATATGCAGCTTGTCTATGCAAGACACTGGAGTTTAGCCTTAGTGAGGCTATGTCTTCCCGCATGTAACTTACAGGTGATTACCCCCAGTTAAGTGCCCAAATTCCCAAAACTATGGTACCTAGGAATAACAAGTACCTAGAGAATGAACAAAGAGAATGGAAATGCTAAACAGAGATTAATCTCAGGTCTTGCATCTCTCCTGGAATGAGGTATCTCCTTGCAGCTCTGAATCATCCTAGATGAAACTGGAATTCATACTAGGAAATCTCTTCTTGGTTTCCCATTAGATACAGTTGAAGAGATTCCTTGCTGAAGCAGATGCTAGAAGACAAAATGATGGTAGCGCTTGCCTATTCTGTAAAAACAGAGATGTTAGAGCCCTTAACAAGGATAAAGACACCCGAGTTATTTGCCTTCTGCAGCCCAAATAGCATTCAAATTTGTACTTTCTCCCTTCCGGGGGAGTTCCTGCCATAAGAGGATCAAAGAATGAGCTAGTGTGGAGGCATACGCTGCTCTTCCTAATGAAGCTATAGGTCTGAGTGCCTTTAGGCATTGTCTCCATCTTCATCCTTGTCACCCCGTTTTTGCTGTGACTAAGTGCTCTTAACGCTAGATGCCTTTATGTAGGGCAGCCTGCAGCTCCTGTACCAGCTGCAGTTTTGCACAGTGGCCAGGACTTGCTGTATTTTGTGCAGTTGTCGCTATTTTTGGTAGTCTGATACCCAAAAACTTAGTGGCCAGCATTTAGAGTTCATGATTCAAAGATACTGATTATAAGGTGGATGCCAAGACACATACCTAGGCCAGCAGTGTCTCCAGGGATAAGAGACAGCAGAAGTCTGGTGTGCCTACTGCATAAAACTTGGATGTTTAATTGGCTTTTACCTCAGTCCCTCTCCCCAGACCTAGAGCTTAAAGTCAGCCTACATTCTACATCCTTTTTTGGTTTAGATACAGATACGAAATTTTCAGTTTCCTGAGGGAGAATGAATGGGACTAGGAATTAATGTGAAGTAACAGATTCTCTTTCCTTACTGAAAAATCACAAGGTCAGGAGAAAATGTGTGGCCTTCCATATAGTTTTTGTGAATTTATGTTACCTGTAGTACCAGAAGTATAAATGTACATGGCAGGAGTTTTAAAGGTTATATCCGATCTCCAAGACAACGGCGTAGGCTCATCTGAAGCAGCATCTACTTTATCTAGAAAGCTCTCAACTCCTTCTGTAGCAGACGTCTTGCTTAAGTAATAAACTTTAACATTTTCTTTCTTCAAGAATGGCAGTATTTCTTCAACAGCTTCCTTCAATTCTTGAATAGGGGAGAAAAAAAAAAAACTATTATAAGAAATTTCTGTGTTATTCTGTGAACTGTACTATCAGTGCATCAACTTTGGCTCAGCAGCTTTCATGTTTAGCTGCTGTTGGAGAAGCTCATGCTCTAGTCCCTTCAGAATCCAGCAAAATGGACTGAAGAGGAACGGTG